GCTAACTAAAGTGATGGAGTTGTTTGGGGTGGGATGTCAATTTGCCAGACACATCGGCATTGGATGTCAAAAGTTCTCTAATGCAGACTGTATCCATAGTGTCATTTGAAGTGGATAAGAAGGGAACCATATAAAATACAAAGAAGAACCCCATATTATGACATGGTGAACAGAATTTGTTAGAGGAGAATGGAATTTGTTGTCCATAAATTTACAATCAAGAGTCAAGGGAAAGAGAAAGAGAGAGAGGAGGAGAGGGAGAGGAATGAGAAAGAGAGAAACAACAAAGTACTTTGTCAACTCTGACAAGCTAAAAAATTGTATAATGTGAACTGTATTCATAGTGTCATTTGAAGTGGATGATAGTTAGGCAACTCAGATGTTATGGAAGGGGGTGTGGCAAAATAGCTTCAATATAGCAGCATGGTGCTGTATTAAGAACAATTCCATATGTTTCTGAACTTGTTGACGAAGAAGCACTCATATGACACCACCAAGTCCCCACCTGAGGTAGAAGTCAATCATAAGTCGACAAGAAAGTATCACCCTCTTCCGAAACAAGCAGAAGTCAAATGTTCAAGATGGGATGTCAGTTTGCCAAACAGATCAGCATAGAGATGCTATTGATGCTCCTTATTGCTACCTACATACTGGGAGCACAAGCCAAACATAGTGCCAAAACCCCTGGAAGCCATGGCAGAAACTTCCAGAATATATACCCCAGACAGCAAAAAATCACAAGCTTTTTTGCTAAAACTAAGACCCCTGACACCACTACAGACCAGAAAAATATATCCTTACCACATCTGTATCACAAAATATATCCTAAGGCCAAGCCAGGGCAAAAATATATTTCTAAGGTGTGACAGTGACATTTCAGGGTCCACTCACCAAAAATATATCCTTACTGCATTTCACTTGCAAAATATATTTTGGTGGTGTGACACAGACATTATAATTTTTGTGTGACATTTCAGGGTCCATGTGTCAAAAATATATTTTAGATTTCAGGGCTTTCTAGGACCCATATATATCTAGAATATAGATATGGTCCATGACATTTAGTCATGTAACTTACGTGGAGTTTGCATGACTAATAGTCAGTTGGGACTGGGTGACTGAAGTGAAAAGTCCTGAACCAAGATGTATTTTTCAATCATATCATGAATACAAATACATAATTTCTGAACCATATTATAAATATTTTAATTAGATGCCGAACCAACATATATCTTTCCACTTTATCTTGCCAAGGATATATTCACAAGACATATCTTTCAATTATATCCTGACTCAGGATATATCTTCTATATTTTTTCAAAGTAAATATATATCTTCACCACATATCAACTCACCTTTCCAGAAGATACTTTCAGAAAATAGCAGTAGAACTCAGGAGTATCTTGGACTTGTCTAGGGGCAGAAAATTGAAATCAATGAATGATAGTCCATTTCTTCACATGCTATTCAATCCAGTACATTCCAACTATTGCATGTAACTATTACGGAACTCATCAGAAAGTGCTACCATTTCAACAGCTTCAAGCAACTCCTGCTCTTCACCATCATCCTCTTGGTCTTCATCATCATCACTCTCATCCTCTCCCTCATCATCAATCTCATTCTCTATTGTCATTTCAGATGATTCCCAGCTTCGGGCCAGCGCAAGTTCCTCAATCGTTGGACCGAGGTCTTTATTGTCCTCCACTGATTCCTGCCGGAATCCGGCGGAATCCGGGGAATTCCTGGAATTCCGGAGGAATCAACTTTGGCAGAGGGCCCTGCCAAATTGATCAAACAATTCCGCGGAATTTTGAATGGAATTCAAATTCCGCCGGAATGATTCCGGTGATCACCCGGAAGGAATGCTCACGGAACGAGACCGGAACGGAATTCCTGATGCCCAAATCAAATGTCGGCGTTTGCCGACGTTTGATTTGGACATCATCAACAAACAACGCCATCTCTTTCAACCACCACCACCATCACCGACGCCTACACACCACGTCGCCAACGTCCACCACCACGCACACCAGCCACGATGAGACAACGACGACGGCCACGATATGGGAGACGACGCCTTGACGCCACATCAACAACCCCAGTAAACGAGTGCGGCAACACGTTGCCACGTCGCTATCAGCGACGTGGCAACCAGACGACGAACGACGAAATCGTCGTTCGTCGTCCTAGGTGAGCACCCCCCAAACTCGTCCCAACCCAGCTCGCTAACACCACGCCCACGACGAGGGACGGACAGCACGCCAGCGCACCACCACGCCAACACACGACCACCACGACCATGCCCATGGACGACCCGCCACACCACATCAACGGACCGCCACCACGTCAACGGACGACGCCCACATTAACGGACGACGACGACCACGTCAGCGGACGACGACACCCACGTCAACGGACGACGAGCACATCAGC